AACCCTAAACCCTAAACCCTAAACCCTAAACCCTAAACCCTAAACCCTAAACCCTAAACCCTCAACCCTCAACCCTAAACCCTAAACCCTAAACCCTAAACATTGAAAAGGTTAAAACATTTGTCTATTTGAGAAAAAAATATATTTCCTTTTGATTTTAAAATTTATGCAACTTCTTAAAAGAATCAAAATTTGGAAAAAGAAAAGTCAAATTTAAATATACCCAATGGTTTTTTTACTAACGTAAAGTAATATGTAAAGTTATTAAACTATCTATCTTTGATACTTTATCATATACCTACGTTGATATGAGAGGTTAGCCGAACTAGTCTGATACTAGACGTTGTTGAATGATAATAGGTTTACCCAAACTAATTTATACCTAATGGTTCCCCTTGCCACTGTGTTTAGTGCAGTTAAAGAACAAAACCACAGAAAACGTTAAAATAAATCGCAAAGCAGAAAATGACCCTAACTTTGTGTTTATATTTAAATCTAGGAATTATAATGAAAATGGTTACTTTTTTTTTTGTAACTGAAAAATGCATTAAAATTAAAAGAAAGAAGATAGGCTTAGGGGATCCCAAAACCAGAATTTAACAAACAAGAAAGATGGGCCTGAAAATGTTTACTTATATTATAATAGAAGAGAAGAATAAACCTTATTATGTTGACCACGTGCTCCACATCACAAACGATACGTAGCGTCAATGGCGTAGCAGCATCGAAGGCTCTCCCTCTCCGACAACATGGATCAACTACAGTGAAAAAGGGGATCACGGCGGCGTAGATCGGCGACCGGTAGTGGTTGGTGGTGGCGAACGTCGCATCTCCGATGCCTTTTCCTGACAACTCATCTCGGTCCAAGGCGAACGCTGCGGCTCCGATGCGATGGTGGTTGGTCACGTCTTCTCCGATGGGGAAACGTATGAGTTCACTAAAAAGGATCAAGAGAAGAAAAAAAGAGGTTAAGGGAGAAGATGATTTACAGATTCGTTAAAGATTTACAAAAGATAACGTTATTTGATGGGAGCGTTAATTTAGATTTCGAAAGTTAAAGAGTTACAAAAGCTGATGGGAGCGTTTATTTGGATTTTGAATTTCAACTGAAACAAAAAATAGTACCGTTATTGGAGTCACTGAAGTCGGTTCATAAAATAACTTGGGCGTCAAGAAAATTAAATTTCATGGGCCTCTCTGGTTTATGATGTGGCCCAAAGTACATTCATTCAATGATTAGACGCAGACTGCCGATATAGGGTAATTTGACATGTTGGAATCTTCTAGCAAAGGCGCTAATCAAATATCACCGGACCGTCGTAAACTTCTCTCCATCTCACACCATCGTAGACGATTTTAAAAACCTTCGCCGCTTCATATATTTGCTTCTTCTTTTCACGGTTGATTTAGTGCCAATGTTGTCATTGTGGTCGCCTTTGAGCTCGTTCGCGCAAGGTCTGCAACAAACCCTTTAAGTTCGTCGCTATCTCCCTCACCGATATCTACAGATGCGAGCCCTGGGATCTACCTCGTTCGTTACTTTTTTTCTTTTAGTTCTCTCTCGAATTGGGTAGCTCAATTACGATGATCTAGCTCAATTATGGGGATTTCTTTGTCGTGCCAAGAAATGCAACTATTAACATTACACTATAAAGAATCAAAAAAATAAGGCAACGATAAGTTTTCTTAAATCTTTCTAGATGTTGCAGGCACTCACGCTGATGATTTTGATGAACCATACACATGAGTATCTCAAAATTTGCTATACTTGCATAATTTCCAGTTCGAAAGCGATACTGAACAAAACCCTATAATGTTCAAATGTATTAAAAGGACCATGGCAAGAGAGAAGATGACTTACAAAAATCAATGGAATCCTTACATCTGATAGTTGCAAGTATCTCTCGTAACTTCCAATAGCTTCATATATGCAAGCAAATAACGGAGATTAGGAGATGTGAGAACAGAGATAACAAGTGTACTCTTATTTATAGCCAAGTCTTGTAAAGAGGCAAACCCAATAGACAGAAGATGGAAAGGAGGCTCAAAACCAAGAAATATTGATCTTTAACGTGAAAGGATGATATTTCCTGAAAACAACGGAAGAACCATCAAAGACCCTACAAACATAGAAGGTCAAAAACAAGGATAGCTTATACATAAAGAAACTATTATGCAAACAGAACATAGGCCTGAGGATATAACGGCAGATAACCAGTCTATGAACTGGTGTGAAGAATGTAGTTTTTGATGATCTGATAGGTGCTTTGTTGAGAGAAACACCATCACCAACGACACTCCAACCAAAAGAATTTATTTCCCATTCTCACCATGAAAAAGTGATCTAGTAGACGTAGAACCACGACACCTGCACGTTCGAATTATAAAACTTTGTGTTGGTCATTTCTTATTGGTGTTAATTTTGTGGAAATTTAATAAACAAACAGGAAGCGTGATAGTGCTTGTATGGTCTTTCAAAATATATTATTTTAAAATCGCTGTGTGTCGAGTAACTAAAATTTACTATTATGGCAGGCTCATTTTATCCACCTTTCCAGTCCCGTTGGCTGATCGTGTGTCTTATAGTAGGGTAAAAGGAATTGACAACTTAACTCTATTCCATGGTATATAAACATCGTTATAATCTTTTGTGGCTGATAAGTATTTGTTTATGCTTTACCAATACAAATTTGTACCAAGACTAAAAAAATAAAATATATCTCGTTGGGTAATATTCTGTTTGGCTTAAAAAATGTTATAGCTCAAGCTAGTTCTTGTGTATACAAGTATGAAGGAAGAGTTACGGCGTCTGAAACTGTTGACATATGCACAAAACTGATAGAAAATATTACGAAGATGTTTTCCTAAAACATGTGAGAGGCTTGCTTTCTAGAACAGCCAATGTTTTCTCTTTGGCTTCTGCTGAACTGGAACCGCTGCACTCAGAAAAAAAGATCATAATCAGTGTCCTCAAGCACAAAGCCACCATTTTGTTACACTTCTTAAGCACAAGACAAACCTTGATTGTCGTATAAAGAGTTATAATGCACCTCCGACCAGAAACTTAACCATAACTCTGCACCATTCCAAACATATAAAGCCACAACTTTGTAAGAGTGCAATTCAGTATCAAGTAGCGATGAGTGAAGGTGAAAGGAAATATATTCTGGAGTCTCACCACGCTTAGGTGCATGGTTTTGAGGCATAATTTCAATGAAACACGTGTCTCTGAAGGACGTCAGCAGGCATATCTTTGCTGCAAACTATTCAAAGGGAGATACAATGGAAAAAACTTTAAGAAAAAGGAAAAGAAAACAACTCAAAAGTATGGAGGCACTGATCTCAGTGGCTAATGTCACAAAACTAAGCGGTAACTTTAGTGCCTTCTGTGTTAAAGGGTTACCTATGTAACATCCATATGAACTAAAGAACATGAAGAAGACTAGCTAGGAAAAAAAACATCAACAGAACTAAGAGCAGTTGATACAGAACAAAATAAAGATCATTATTTAGGTACATTTTAACTATTAATAATTTAAAACAAGTGCTGTGAAAACTGAGACAAAATGGAAACTTACCCTATCTGCCGCCGCTTGTAGGGTAATATGGTCTCCCCATTCTCCAAGTCTGCCATTCATGTAATTTTGAACAAATTTATAGATCAAACCAAGAGTATAGCTTAGAAGACTTGATGAGAAATTAAAATGTTTGCACAACGTACTTCGCCATACTCTTGTAATATCGTTTGTATTTCATCGGAACATAACTTTCGTACATAGTGCGATTGTCCTTAAGCTGTAGCAACAAGACAAAAACAACAGAAAAATTAGGTACAAAAAGGGACCTAATATTCAAACAGGTAAAGAAGTTGCAACAATGGTTTAATGATAACCATAAAAGACAGTCATCACTCTCTTTGTTCATCTCACCTGTTTAACAACTTCTCCCCTAACTTGCTTGTGGTACTCTGAAGATCGGTACAACTGGTCAGAAAGAGCTCGGAACTGAAAGACACTCAATAAGATATGAGTATACGACTAGAGAGAGAGAGATAAAGAAGATTTGTTTGAAATTTAGTTTCTACTCACCTGGCAGTTTCCATCACCAGAGACCTTCAACTCACACAAACCATAAACATTTAGCCTGCAAGGAAGATCAAAGTTAAGAATTAGCAATGAAAGAAAGTGCATCATAGGGGAGGATTAATCTCAGTTTCACTTGTCTAGGAATAACATTATAGAATGAGTATACTGTAACATATTCACAACCTCCTAATTATGTTAAGAAAAGAGAGGATATGGGAAAGAACCTTTGAAGAAGGCGTTGGTGATCCAAGGTGGCATCATTTAAGTTGGGGATATAAGAATTTATCCGCGGAACATGCTGCAAAACAAGAAGTCATATAATCACGTAGAAAGGTTTCATTTTATGTAGAATAAAACCTCTCTATTGCATTTCGAAGGACTATATAGAACCAAGCTTACGGGAACGGGAGCAAGATTGGAGAGGCGTCTGCCTACTGCACCATCTAGGTTAGTGAACTCTTCAGATAACATAAGAGCAATCATCCGATCATCTTGAGTATCCGTTTGACTACTGCTCCAAGAGGTTGAACTCGAAGAAGACTCTCCCATCATGTTTTCTTGTGAGTAGGTGAAACAGATCCTACAACAAGAAGCTAGCTGGATCACGTTATGAAGGAACGTTGCCTAAAATATGTGTGGAAAATAATGAAGAGAGAGCGGGCGGGTACAAGGAAAGTGGAAAATTTTTGTTACATAAAAGAGATTGGAAAAGAAACCAAAGAATCGATTGGATCTGGGGAAGATCGGATCTAAAAGAAAGGGAAAGGATAAAGATTCCGAAAAGTTTGATACCTTCCGGTGCGAAGGAGACAGCAAGTTGGCGTCGACGATGACGATTTTTTTTTTTTTTTTTTTGTGGTTGGAACAAACAAAGTTTAGCTTTTTCGTTCAGCACAACATTATTATTGGCAGTTGGCAAAACCGCGTTCTCTTGTCTCTGCTACCCATTTGCTGTAACCTTTGTTTTCAGCCTACCCCCAATAAGTCAAATATGATTTATTTTCTACATAAATCTTACCAAAGTAAACCTTTTTTCCCATCAAAGTATCTCAATTCTTTGTTTCTTTCTTTACTTTTGCTACAAAATTCATTCGAATCCAGGGCCATACATTTCAGTATCCAACCCTCCTCTTCTTGTTGCTGTGCATTTCCCTGGCTGATGTCAAACTGGTAAGTTGCTTAGGTATGACTGCTCCACAACTTTTTAAAGCCACAACCAAATCAGGAAACATATTTCTGCTCTCCTCGTTTACAAACAGAATGGCACTTCCCTCCTCTCCCATCCTAGAGGCCCTGCCAATCACATGTATGTACTCCTTGATGGTATTAGGCATGTCAAACACTATCACTTGACTTACTACCAACAAGTCAACTCCTCGGCCTAGTACTCCAGTTGATACCAGCAGAGGCACCTCTCCACCCAAAAACGACCCCATTACATCTCTCCTCTCCCTCATTGGCTTCTCCCCATGTATCGATAGAGCTTTTATCCCCGTCACCACAGTTATCGCATTAGCTAAGAGATCTGCTCCAGCTCTCGAACTCACATAAACAACAGCTGGGGGCTTGAAATGGTTTTGACTTCTCAGTATCTCAAAGAGCTTCTGTTTCTTTTGCTTTGCATCAACCCAGATAGCCAATTGTTTGACAGCTTTGTTAGGTCTGTTGGGATTACCTATGGATATTAAAATCATTTCCCCCTTGGCTAGAGACCTTCCCACCTTCTCCACATCCTTTGAGAGCGTCGCTGAGAACAGCAAGACCTGCGGTTGTGATAAAGCTCTAAATATCTGCATCACCTGATCACTGAAACCTCTCTGGAGCATGCAGTCAACCTCATCGAGCACAAACATCATAACATCATCTAGTTCAATGGTGTGCCTTGCTAGAAGGTCCACGAGCCGACCTGGGGTACCAATAATCAACTCAACACCTTGCTGAATGCGGTAGAGTTGTGCAGAAATGGGATCACCACCAACAACAAGAGCAGTCTTAAAAAAAGGGAGTCCCTTTCCAAGCATCTTTGCCTGATCTTCAACTTGGACGCAGAGCTCTCTAGTTGGAGCCAAAACCAAAGCTAAGGGGTTCCTGGGGTGTGAGGAGGAGGGATGCTGAGAGCGATAAGTTGCACAACGAGAAACAATAGGAACAAGAAAAGAAGCAGTCTTGCCGGAGCCAGTGTCAGCGGAAGCGAGCAGACTTGTGCCGGTTAAAGCAGCTGGAATGGCTTGCATCTGGATAGGGGTAGGAAAGTCATATCCAGCGGTTTCTAAGTTAAGAAGAAGCTTAGGAGGAAGTCCACAAGAGGTGAAAGAGAGGAGAGGAGGAGGAACTGCTGCTCCTTGGACATGAATATCAAGCTTCCTTCTAAGCAGTAGAGAATCGGTGGTGGAAGAAGATCCGACATAGAAGCACTCATCAGTGGCAGGAAACACTCTAGGGTTCAAAAGTGTGTGCTTACACTCGAGACTGCAGATGTCATCATTGGTCTCGTCACAAATGTACTCACCGTAACGACAGCAGATAACACATTTAGGTTCCCCGGGAAGAGGCCATCTTTGATCTATACACTTTTGTTTGATACCATCTACAATAAAAATAAATAAATAAAGAGAAGATGAACGACAAGAAATCCTCCTAGGTCTAAGTGATGCAAATTATTTATAAGATAATAGACTAACCAGAGAGGTGAGGGACGCAGCCATCTTCGTTCATATCCTTAAGATCTATTATTTACCAGCTTCTGTAAGCACAACGCCAATCAGCCAAAGAGAATTCAATCTTAACTTCCGCACAAAACTACAAAACAGCAATTGAAAGAATCCGAAGCGAGAAATATAACCGATAGACTCGCTCGCAAAACTCAAGGATTTTCCAATCGCACAAGAAGAAGAAGAAACAGACAGATTATTGGACTGCGTAAATATATTTGGAGTTTACACACAAATGGTCCCTAAATATATTTCGAGTATACACACAAATGGGCTTTTTACTGGGCCATACACGATCAGGGTTTAGAGCGTACGAACCAAAACAACAACAACTAATCCCACAAACTACATTTTACTCTATTAAACTCCCAATGCCAATATCCAAAACTTTACCAAACTCGCATCTAGTTGATGCTCTCAACGTAAAACATGCCCAGAGATGGACAGTTTTCATCACTGCTCTTCTTCATGACTCATGAAATCCTTACCAAATTTGAGTGTGAATAGCTCCCTGGAAGAACACGCGTAGGATTAGGAAACGCCATTGTCGTTGACACTAAACAGTGACGTTGAGACGTACATACCTGACTAAAATGCTGCCCCTGTTTATATTTATACGCAAATCACTATTCTTCTGTGTTCTATTCTATGAAGAGCACTCCATAAGTGAGTGCCTCTTCTCCTAAAATATCCTAAGCGCAAGAGAGACTGTGAAGGGGGAGCTTAGTATTTGATAAGAGCAGGGAGTGATGCATGCAGTTCTGACAAGCACTGGAACATCCAGTTCAGTAACTGTTCTCTTGGTAGCTCCAACAGAAGTTCCGCCTGTGCAACATCATGTAAAGCCCTTTAGTTCATTGGCATATATAGATTACACAAATTCACGCAGATGATGTCAACACTACTAAAATTCACTCTTGCAGTACCATTATTTGATCTCCTTCATATATCAAGGAGCTTCGGTAAACGTCACAAGTCATGGAATCTGTGATCAGCTTGAACACCTTCTTACTCATATTTGTTTTCATCACAACCATCTTCCCTGAGGCATAAATTCTGTTTACTCCAAGATCAGCCGCCATGCGTCTCACATACAGCTTCTTCAAAATGATCTCCATGGAGTACGGTTCTTTCCCATATTGGCGACGTAAGTTCTCTGTGAATTGCATGAGACTCCACATATCTTTCTCAGCTGCTTTTTCAGCTTCATTGATGATCTCCATCGGATTTTCCAGGTAATTTACATACTCGGACGGCAGCCGAGGATTTATATTTATGTCAATCTGGAATACAGAGCAGATAAAAAAAGAATTAGAAGTCAATTGACTACTACAGTTCGAGGCATGACAACTGCTTTGAAGATTGAACTTCTCCCCTTACTCGTGCACAAACAATAGGCACTGGAAATATTCTCATCTTGTCATTCTTTTATCTGAAGTATTTAACCGTTCCTACTGAGTTTAGAATAGAAACTACCTTCACCAGACTGTATGGAATCGAAAATATACGGAGTTCCTCCACCTAGAAACAACCAAAAAATGACTCATAAGTCAATAACCACGCCCAACTAAACACAAAAAAAAAAAACGCTCATCAGTGTCATGATCAGACAGAAATACCTTGGATAGACTCTCAAAAAGCATTTCAAAGAAGAGATCGATGCCGACATTTCCAACATCTCCTGTCTGCTGTTCACCAAAAATTGTCCCAAAGCCTCTTATACCCATGTCTTTCTCCGCAAGTTGGAAACCTTGTCCAAGCTCACGACACTCTTCAAGAGCACTAAGCCTTTCCTGCAAAGTTAGCTTGTATATTACATGCCAGGCTGCCAAGGGAATAGAAGAAATAAAGTCACCCACAATACCAATGCTTGATCAGAGAGCAGTGATTTATCAGGATAAAACAGGTAGGCATGAGCTTCTTTATCAGCCCGGCCAACCCTTCCACGCAACTGTTGACAACAACAAGAGTAGATATCTAAGAAGCTACTCACCCTTTCTTTTCCAGGATAACTGCAATAGCAATGATTAAATAATAACTTTGGCACCTGGTACAACTGAGCGAGCCCAAATTGTTGAACATCCTGGATGATTATGGTATTTGCATTTTGAATATCAAGTCCGCTTTCGACAATATTAGTGCATATGAGGATTTTGATCTTTCCTTGCGCAAACCTCTCCATGGTTTCCTCTAGTTGTTTTGAGTATTGCTGTGAATACATCAGCGTAGCAGGATAATCAAAGATACGGCAACATCATTTCTTAAGAGGATTCCATGAAATGTAATATATCTTATGAATGAGGAGCATCCAAATGTCGAGGACTGCAACAAAAGGCCATAACATACCTTCCCATGTGCCATAGCAATGTCGATATCTGGAAATGCTTCTTCAAGAAAATCCATCACTTCCTCTAGTCCTGATAGGGAAAATGAAAGTGGTAAACCGATAATGTATGGTCAAAAAGTAGTAAACTGATTCTACTTGTGTCTAAGTTGACCAAGACCAGAGGCAGTCATACTAAGAAATAATATAGAGAAAGACAGGCGCTTATGGTGCATTTTACCTTTAATCCGAGGTAAGACATAGAAAACTTGGCCACCACGATTCAGCTCATTTTTTATAGCTTTGATAACCTTTTCCTTACTGAATGATGAAAGATGGGTTTTTATTGGAATCCTCTCCGGAGGTGGTGTGGAGATTAAACTAAAACAAGGAGGGGAAACAAAGGGGGTCATTAATTAGTCTCATCAAATTCTATCAGTTAGATTATTAATTGAAACACATCATGTCAGAACCTGGCATCCCGGAATCCAGTCAAAGCTAGGTATAATGTCCTTGGT